TGTTTTTGTTTAATCACACCTTCAAGTACACCCTGGGAAAATGTCCTTGATCTGCTCCAGAGATGTCTATGATTCTCAAATATTCCCTCCCCACTGATCTTCCATGACTCTTCCATGACTACATAAAAGCAACTTTTACAAGAGGTGACATTTGAGACCTACTGGTCCCGCAGCCTCCCAAGACATGCTTCTATTCACTGGTAGCCTTAATAAACCATTTCTCGTCACCTGGGCTTGGCTTTTTCCTTTGGTCTTACAACTCCTTTGGCCTTTGGAGTCATTTTGCACATCCTTTTCATGGATAAGCCCCATTTTGTGTATTTATGAGTGCTAAATCAATGAATCTTTACAACAACCTCATGAGATTGTTGTCCTCATTTTACAGGTGAGAAAACTAGTAAAAGAGATTAACTGGCCTTTTCCATGTTTATAATGGACAAGCCATAATAATTGTTTGTTGGAAGTAGTTTTATGGTGTTGATACTGTAGAAAACTATCTCACTGTGGGTAGTAGAAAGGGACTTAAGGAAAGGGTAGATTGTTCATTTTGGGGAATATTATACCAAGCAATGAGATAAGGATTCTGGGCTTTGGGAAACACCACATCCTTCTTGGCATTTTCTTACATTTTAAGAAATGTTCTCTTTGTTCATCTTAGGATTTGTGAACTTGATTTAGAATATATCAGCTCAACAAGGTTGGATTATGGCAATGATTTCTGAGGAGGGCATAGACAGCCCCTAAAGGACTTCTCAGATTACTGAGAATTTTTTGGTCACCACAAGAGCTCAATGGGGAGAGGAATACTGCTGGCACCCATGGGGTTCAGGAAAGCTAGACATTCTGAAATGCAGAGGGCTTTCATGTAGCTGTGAAACCTACTTAAATTTAAGCATACACTTTTGTCCAGTTTTAGCTGAAGTTTTCTAGGAATACACCAAATTTACTAGGAGAGCAATTCTTTTTTAAACTGAGGGAAGACTGTACATGGTTTTGATGGGAATTTTACCAAGTTTTTCACTATTTTAGAAAATCCTCACTCTGCCTGTAGTATTTCAGTTACCAAGGCAACATATAGTATTAGTGTACATATGTACCAGCTGTATTCATAGTGACATCTCTTTGTCAGATGTTATTAGAGAAATCACGTGTATTTTTGGAATCTGGCTAAGGGAAAGTTGAACAGGGGATATATTTACTGATATACATTTATATGCCTGCGGTTATTTCCATCCACAGTTATGGCTGTCCATGCAGGAGACAGATGACTTGTGTGAATCCTGGCCTCTCACCCAGTGATGTGACATGAAGTTGCAGGGCCAGAGAACATAACATGATACAAATGTTATATATGGAGTCTATCCTTGAATGAGGTATTTAAGTAGTTCTGGAAGAAACAGGACTTAATACTGTCGGGGCCAAGGGCAGGCTGCCCCAAATTATGCCCCTTTGACATACTGATTATTTTAAGTAAAAGTTACTTAGGAAACAGCCAGTATAAAGACTCTCGGACCTCCTCTGTCCCCCTGAAAGCAGAAAATAAATCTCTCATATGAAAAATACCTTCCCTATGCTAACAAGTAAATTGACATCCTGCTCACTAGAAATGAGGGCTTTAAAGTTGAAAGGCTGTGGAAATAAACCTTGTTACTTTTTATTCTAAATGACTACCTCAGCCAGAATTCCATTTAGAATTCCTTACTAGTTAAAGCTCCCAAGCATCTATTTTCTTTATCCTGTCTTGTTTTTTGTATTGTCTTTTGGTCTACAATGTATAAAATGTGCCTGCCTTGGTCATTTCCTTAGGCTTCAATTTCAATACAGGGCCTCCATGTACACTTAACACAATTTTGGATTTTTTCCTGTTAATCTGTCTCATGTCAATTTAATTCCTAAACCAGAGGTGGGATAAAGAAGGAAATTACTCCCTCCTCAACAATACATATTAGCTAGAAGTTAGTCTATGATACACGTAGACATGTCAGAGTGTTAATTAATAGAAATATTATGTTATTTTTCTGGATTTTGTGATGCTTGTGGTATTTGTTAGCTTTTAAAAATTAGTAATTTGTAAAAAAACAGAGATGAATAAAATATAAAATTCAGAATTTGTTACTATTTGTCTATTCTAAATAAATGTCTACTTTCATGCCCACTTTTATATTCACAATTTTGCATTTTTTAAACTTTATATTTGGTCAAAGTGTCATCATAATATTTATATAGACAATCTCTACTCAACACAGAAATTATACTTTATTTCTTCCTCTTTTGTAGGTTTACATTATATCACTTAACAAATTATGAGGTCAGGAAAGATAGTATAATAAACTTACTCTTCTTGCCATATCGCAATGTTATTTTGAAAAACATTTGTTGAATGCCTATTCTGTGTAGGCATTATTCTAGGAGCTATCTCATTTAATTCCTAAATAAAATTTGTAAAATCTCTCAAATGGGATCTTAGGACCACTTCACACTCTTTTTTGTCCCTATATTTTTTTTCTAGTTTTATTGAAAAATAATTGACATACATTACTGTATAAGCTTAAGGCATACAATGGTTTGATTTACATATGCTGTGAAATGATGAACACAATGGGTTCAGCTAACATCCATTTTCTCATATAGATACAACAAAAAGAAAGAAGAAAAGAAAAAAGGAAAAAGTTTTTCCTTAAGAAAGATCATATATCTTTTTCTATGAATTTTTGGCTTGTTTTTTAAATTCCACATATAAGTGACATATTCTCTTTTAAAAATTTTTTAATGTTTATTTATATTCAGGAAAAAGAGAGAGAGAGAGAGAGAGAGAGAGAGAGAGAGAGAACGAGCAGGGGAGGGGCAGAGAGAGCAAGGAGACAGAATCCCAAGCAGGCTCCAGGCTCTGAGCTGTCATCACAGAGCCTCGTGCGGGATTCCAACTCATGAACCATGAGATCATGACCTGAGCCAAAGTCAGTCACTTAACTGAGTCACCCAGGTGCCCCTAAGTGACATATTCTTAAAGAGAACCTCCAAGACTGAATGTATTTCAGGCCCCATAAAACATACCTGCTCCTAAATAAAAGTTTGTCAGAGGATTCTCACTCCTAATATTTTGTCTCTACCACCTCATCTCCACCCCACCATGCCTCACAGCCACAGTTCGCCATTTCATTTATTTCTGATTTCCTCTTTTCTGTGATTCTTTTTGAAAAATTAAACAAATATGAGTATACACACATATATATTCTTATTTAACCTTGTATTTTACACTGAAGGTGGTATGCTTGTGTTCATTATTCTTAAGCAAAAATATTCTTAAAGTGTCAAATCTATCATTTTCATTCGATTTTCTGGATTTTTAGCAATAGCCATCAAAGACTTTTTCCATTTTTGGGTTATAAAGAAATTCTCAATATTTTCTTCTAGTACTTTCAGTCTTCAGTTTTTAATCTGATATACAGCATAAAGTACATATCCAGTTTTATCTATTTTCAAATGGCTGTCTGATTGTAACAACACCACTTATTAAAAAGTCCACCCTTTTCCCCAGCGATTGAGATGCCATCTTAAGCACCCACTAACGTTTGTATGTACTTGTCTCTACCTGTAGATAAATTCTGAACTTGCTGCCCCATTGACCTATTTGCCTACTCATCCATCAATACCATATTAGTTTAGTATCTGGTAAGGCCTAGCTGCCCCCTGAGTCTACCATTCTTGTTTTTTATTTCATTATAAAAACTTTTGAGAATCAATCTGTCTAGCCTCAGAAAATATTTGGGCTTAAAAATTAAAATTGTGTTACCTTTTACACATTAACTTGGAGAAAATGGTTTTGCATATTAGCAACACCTGAGTATCCTGAAGAAGCTACCAGTTCCTGGTTTTTTCTCCAGGAATTTAATTTGACTGGGGATGGACCCGTGGCAGAGCCGCAGTGTTTGAAGGTTCCCAGGTGGTTCTAATGCAGAGCCAAAGTTGGGAGTCATACGCTTAGTCCACAGATGTGTGGCTACACATTATTTGTGTCTGGTTGCCTGAGAGGCGGCAAGTTAGTCCAGGTGTCCCAAAAGGGCCATTGCTTTCTTAACTCAAATTGGGAGTGCTGTGTAGGCAGAACCCTGGAGCCCAGCACCTGCATTTTACAATTCAAGGTTCTGCTGATGCTTACCCTGTGCCTCCTGTGTGCTGGCACAGGGTTAAGCACTTTTGCAAATTTGCACCACGCTTAACTAGGTGAAATGACTTAAACCTTTCCGTTTTGGTCTCTTGTGATCACTGCTCTACCCACAAGGCCTAGAATTGTGTCTGGTACATAATAGGCTCTCAATAAATACATGCCATGTGAATTAACTGCATGGTCCCGCGCTGAAATGATAGCCAGTGAATTCCAGATGACCCTGCATCATTTTTAGTTCTAACATCGACTGAAACACATTTTTAAAAAAATATTTTTATTTATTTCTAGGAGAGAGAGAGAGGGAGAGAGAGAGAGAGACAGCGTGAGCAGGGGAGGGTCAGAGAGAGAGAGAGAGAGGGAGATACAGACTCTGAAATAGGTTCCAGGCTCTGAGCTGGCAGTCAGCACAGAGCCCGACGCGGGACTCGAACCCACGAACCGCGAGACCATGACCTAAGCGAGTCAGACGCTCAACCGACTAAGCCACCCAGGCGCCCCCACATTTCTATTTCTGACTGAAAGAGCCAGGACCTCTTTTACAAGGACTGGATCTGCTGCAAGATAAAGCGCACGGCACCGGATACCTCCTCCATCCACTTCCATCTCTCCAAAGACGAAAACCTGCCCTAATAAGGTAGCACCGAAAATTGGTTCCGGGTCACGTGAAGCGAGCGGCACCCACAGACAGAAGGCAGAGCCTCCCTCGCTCATGCGCACAGCTTCTGCGCCGGTTTCTTGGGGAGCCGGCGCAGTCTCAGAGGCCTCGTTTACGCCCAGCTCCGCCCAGCTCACTCCGAGGGGGCGGGACGAAGGGCGGGCTTGGGGAAGAGGCGGGGCGGTGGCTGCGCGCGTGCGCGGAAGAGAGCTGAGGGGCGGGCGCGCCGCTGCGGGCCTGGCTTAAGCGATTTTAGGCAAGATGCAGGTAAAGAATCTGGGGGGCAGAGCCCTGGAGACTACCGCAGCTCCTTTTCCTCGCTGGGCCCGTGTCATCGGCGGACCGTCCGGGGTGGGACCGTAGGAAGCGCTGGGCGCCCCCGACACGGGGGAGGCCACGCGAGTCTAGGCCTAGCGCAGGCGCAGTGCGAGAGGGCGGGCGTGGTCGCGCCGAAACCGGCGAGTCGGGCCTCCCCACTCTCGCCGTTCTGACTCCTCCAGGTCTCTGTCTTTGGGGGCTATCTCTCCTGGAGGTCAGATCCTGGAAAGTCTGTGAAGGTCTCGTCGTATCCTACCTGGCAGGGTTACTTCCTATTTGTTAATTCTCTTAGCACCTGAGCAGGTGTGTTATAGGCCCCTTGTGTGGATGTGGAAGCTGAGGCTCGGAGAAGGGAAGGGTCCCACCTAGAAGTCGGGTAACTTGAAACACTGGAGGAACCTGTGTTCCTGACTGCACTTAGAGCTGGGGGAGAGGATAGTTACAGCCCCTTTCCCCCTGAGGTTGGTGTTCAGGTTGAGGAGCGCCCCCTTTCGGATTCCCTGGCTTTCAGAGCTCAGTCGGCCCTAGGGTCCCTTTCCTCAGTTGCTGTTTTAGAATCATATCCCCCGTGTTTTGGCCCCTTTCCCCCGTATTTGGAATTTTCTAATGGAATTGGCCTAAAACTTAAAAGTGAAAGGAAATGAAGATACCAAGGGAATGAGCAAAAATCTGTGACAACTGAATTCTGTCACTGTCGAAGGACCCTCTGCCAAAGGTCATTCTGCTGCTTCCCAGACCTCACTGTTGTCCAGAATTCTGATTAAATCGTCTCTGGCTAAGTGGCAAATGAGAAGGAGTTAGTGTGGGGTAGCTTGAGGCCGGAGGCATTGGGAGCTGGAAAGGATAAGCATCTACAAATATGGTGTGTCTGTCAGAAGCCAGACACTCTTAAGTGGTGAAGAGGAAGCTCCAGGGGCTGCCCTGGCCTCCTTTGCACTGTCTATCCTAAAGGACCCTGCTTTGAAAATGTCATTTCTTCAGAGCCCTACTCTGGTCACCCTGTTGGAAGGATTCTGTTCATGTTTCTTTTGATATATCTCAGCAAGACCGTGACGCGGAGTGAAGTGCTGGAGCCTGGTTGTCCCAGTGCCCTTTCCACGATGTTCCTTGATTTCTTATTCCAAACCAGGTCCACTAGCAATGTTCCTACCAAACCATGCTAAACCAGTGTTTGGCTGGTTCAGGAGCTAGAGCCCACCTTGACATTTCTCCTCTGATGTTTGATCCTGGTTAATTTGACTTGTTCCAGCATGGCAGTGTCTTCCTAAATGCCATGTCTCTCCTAGGCCTGTGAGAATTAAGTAAAATACAGGTAAAGGGATTCAGAGAGTGCCAGCATCCCCTAGTACTCATGTGTTGGTCATTTGTGAGCTCTTTTCACGGGATCTCAGCTCTTCCTTCTAGGTTGGGCCAGTAGAGGTTTTGTCAGCCTAGCACCAGGCTCTCCTGATTCTACTGCAGTCACTTAGAACTTTGAGATACTCCGTATCTCTGCTCTTGGACCCTTTGCACATGCGGGTCTCTCTGCCTGGAAAGTTGTTTCTTACTGCCCTTGCTGTGGAATGCGGACCCCTTGTGACTCTCTAGGTCAGCAGCCTGTTGATCATTGCACTTGCCACAAGTTGTAATACATATCTGTATATTTATTTGTTTATTGCTTGTCTCTTTCTCTCAACTGTAAAATAGGTGATTCTGGCATTCACCATGCTTCCCTACTATGTACTAACAATACATATAGTTGGTGCTTAATATCTGTTGAATGAATCATTCCCAAGTCATCAAGTTAAATTACTGAAAAGCCGCCTCAGCCTTGGTACGAGCGTTGGTACTGATCTGTGCATCATATTCTGATTTTTACCCAAGACTAATTCTTGGGTGTGTATGTTTTGGGGAGGGGGGCAGAGTGAAGGTGTAGTGAAGGAAAAGGAACAGGGGTTGTGGTTCATTTGACACTTAATCAGAAAAGGCCACAGAGTAATTCGGCCATAGAGTAATCCCACCACCTTTCTTTCCCGTTCGATCCTTTCTTCAATATGGCACCATCCTAGTGGACTTTGCACTCATGGTGTCCTTGGTCCACTTGCACTAGGACCCCAATGCAGACACTGAGTGGAATGACATCTTACGCCAAAAAGGCATCTTGCCCTCAAAGGAAAGTTTGAAAGACTTGGAAAAGGAGGCAGAAGAGGAGGAACAGCGAATCCTTCAGCAGTCAATTGGTGAGCTTGCTTATATTCTTTTTTGTTCTCTCTCTCTCTGGGTTAAGAAACAACTTTCTAAGCCTCTAAATGCTTTGGTGGATGCTCTGAGCAGGAATTGGGAGCCAGGGATTGGAGGGCTGGAATGGACCGTATCTCTGGGACCTCAGGCGAGTCGGACTATCTCTAACCTTCAGCTTCTTGGGCTGTAGAAAAGGGGGACTTCAGACGCTTCCTTCATTTCCACAGTTTCTTGTCTATGTCACATGGGCACATGATAAACCTGAGGAAAATATTTGAGTTTTACTTTTTGTTTCATTGATCGCAGGGGCTGGTACTTTTGTCTTCTGTTTATATATTAGAGCTAATTTAGAGGCGGATTCATTAGAAAGCATTTATCCAGTGAATGTTCATTGAATGATGATCGTCTGACAGGTGTAATTCTAAGCATTGGGCCTTTAGTTGTGTACAGGCCAGACAAATCCCTATCCTTATGGAACTTACATTCTAGTGGGAGAGATAGGCAATAAGCAATACATAATTCCTTATATAGGAAAATAAGGCGGGGAAAGGGCCTCAAAAGGGTAGGAGGAGGGGGGTGAGTATAATTCTAGATAGAGTCAGAGAGAGCCTCATTAGGAGTGACATTTGGGTAGACCTGAGGGAGTTGAATTGAGCTACTTAAGTGAGTGAAGAGCATGTTAGAGAATCATCTGGGAAGCCAGTATGGTAGAAAAGAGTGTTCAGAGAGGCAACTAGGGGTCCAACCATTGAGGACCTTTTATCTTTTAATAAACACCTTGGCTTTTATGTCTAGTGGGGTGGAAGTCACTGGGGTGTTGAACAGAGGATTGACATGTTGACAGAACCCTCCTGCTGTTGCCTCACTGAGCATGGAAGATGGGGAGAAGGTCAGGAAGTAGGGAGTTGAGTGTGGAAACTGCTGCACTAATTCGGGCAGGAGGTACCATTGGCTTGGACTAGCCTGCATGGTATTGGTGAAAGTGGTGAGAAGTGGTCAGATCTGGAAATAATTTGAATGTAGGGCCAGTAAGATTTGCTGGTGGATCCTGTAAAGGGTGTGAGAAAAAGTAAGCAAAGGATGACTGCAAGGCGTTGGGCTTGAGCAGCCTGAAGGATGGAGTTACCACCAACTGAGATGAGGAAAGCTTGGTGAGTAACAGTTTGGAGCTAGGATCAGGAGCTCTATTTGGGACACAGTAACGTTGAGATTTTTATTAGCCCAATAGAGACGATAGGTAGGCACTTGGCTATGTTTTTCTCCAAATCAGAGAAATATGGACCGGAGGCAAAAAGTCATGAGGTGCAATCACCAAGGGAGTGGGTGTAAATAAAGGAGTCAAATCAGCAGAGGTCCAAAGGAAGGGCAGTCATAGAGGTAGGAGGAAGGAAGGCATCCTGCAAGCCAGAGGAGGACCATCTTTCAAAGAGGAGGCAGTGGGGGGTTAGATTAATGCTGCTCATCCATCAGGAAGTGGAGGTCATTGTTGATCTCGATGAGAACAGGTTGTTTAGTGATGGAGTTGGGATTGGAGGACAAAAATCTGATGTCAAGAAGCAAGAATGTGGCTGTAAAAATGGAATAGAGATTTTCTAGCAGTTGGGGAACAAGGGAACAAGAAGTCCTGTGATAATCCCTTTAACTCTAGGAGAGGTGTGCCCGGGAGGACTCACCTTTGTGTGTGTATCCACCTTGGTCCTCAGAGATAGAATTGTTAACACACCTGGGCCATGGGTGTGTGTGCTTGAGGAGCCGACCAGGTGAGTTCAGGCAAATACAAGTTTCTTGTTTTATAAACTCGGGAAACTTCTCATTCATGTCCTTACAATTGCATGGAGGTAGGAGAGTGATCTTGCTGCAAATGTCAACATAGGTCTGTCTTTTTTAAAACACCCTCAAGTTCTTCTTTACTAGCATAATACCTTCGGTATTTTTTATTTTGGTTTTAGTGAGTTTTATTGGCTTTTTGGTTTTAGTGAGTTTTATTGGCTTGGTGTTGCGTGCACATCTTTAGGAGAAAAGTAAAGGAGGAAAAACAAAATGCAAGTTCATCTTCTAAATTTTTTTGGTTTTTGCTAACTTAACTGCATTCAGTGAAAACGTATGAAGATATGACTTTGGAAGAGCTGGAGGAAAACGAAGACGAATTTAATGAGGAAGATGAACGTGCTATTGAAATGTACAGGTTAGTGCCACCCAGAGGGACTGTTTGGTTTTTTGTGTTGCACTAAAATGTGTGTCTTTTGAAAAGTTAACTTTCTGACCAAGATAACATTCGGAAAGGATTATATGATTAAATAGTAATATTGCAGGTTTCAGTGAACTAGTCTTGGACTTCTGCCACGTGGCAGATAAATAAATGTGGATCTTCATAAAGGCTGCTGTGTGAAAGGCGTGTGGGACGTGTGGGGTGTATGTGTAAGATGTCTCTCTCCTCCTCCTGCTGTACAGGCAGCAAAGACTGGCTGAGTGGAAAGCAACTCAACTAAAGAATAAATTTGGAGAAGTTTTGGAGATCTCAGGAAAGGATTATGTTCAAGAAGTTACTAAAGCCGGTGAGGGCTTGTGGGTTATCTTGCACCTTTACAAACAAGGGTGAGCTGATCTTATGCACTGTCCTTGAATGTTAATTTGAAATTATGCCGTGGACATTCCCCGCTTAATCCACATTGGAGGGTTGGTTGGTTTGTTTTCTTAACTAGTATTTTGTTTTTGTTGCTGACTGGCCCAAACCTAATGCCTCATTTTTGTCTTTAGACTTTCAAGTTAATATTTGTGACTAATAAGAATGCCTTCGTTACATTATAGCAATGAAGATTGCTTTGATTGAAAAAGAAATTCCTTATTTATCCTTCCGGAGAAACTCTGGCATTTCAAAATTGCATGTATGAATCATTCTCCTAGATGTTGGGGGTGACCTTTATAATAATTGTTCCAGGCAAGTGACGCAGTGGTGCTCCACTGTGTCTCACTTCCAGCCGCGTTCTCCTGCTGTGTACTTGTGTAGAAGTTCTTTGAAAAGCAGGAAATGCTTTCTGACCTTTTTTACACCTCCTGAATCTTGAATGTTCTCACATAGAGGTGACATAATTATCTTTTACATTGAAGCTTTTTTCCTGAGTTACTACTGAGTCAAATTAAATTGCATTTTGGATTTTGAGTTCTTCATTTTCCCTGAACGTATTAGAAAGCTTTTTTAAAAAATGTTAAATCATCTTGGCTGGAGTAGCAGAATCATTTGTGAAGCTATTAGGGTTTACGTAGGGTAGAAGGGTAGTTGAACTTTGCCCTGTATAAATGCAGAATCACAGTTGCTTCTGTTTCTGTTTTATAGGTTTCCTCTCTCACCATTATTTCCCATTTCTACTTTACAGAATTCCTCTCTGTGCCCTCATAAATCAGCACTTCCGTGGACTTGCCAAGAAGTTTCCTGATGTCAAATTTATCAAAGCCATTTCAACAACCTGCATACCCAATTATCCTGATAGGAATCTGCCTACGATATTTGTTTACCTTGAAGGAGATATCAAGGCTCAATTTATTGGACCTCTGGTGTTTGGTGGCATGAACCTGACAATAGATGGTAAGGGCCTCTTTGAGATGGTCTAGGGCATGTGAGCGATGACCAGTGCATGTTAGAGATGATGAGGGGATGTTTCTGTTGAAGAAGCATGTGTTATGATGATTTGTCAAAGTCATCTTTCCCCCTGTGTGATTGTTAAAAGAAAGGAAGCACATTTAATCTCATTAGATGAGTCACTGAGGGCAGTTACAACTGGGCTTTAATAATTCTATTAAAAGAGAACACAATGGACTTTAAAATATGTATATTTAATACTTATGTCTAGTAGGTTTTATTTGTCCCTATAGTTGAATATGTTTTAAGTTATAGCTAAATATCTCAGCATTCTTTTTTTGTTTAATTCACATGAACGTATTACTGGTAGATGCATGTATAAAAACGTTTAAGAATATTTTCTGAGTTGAGTATCTTAGTGGATTTAAAAAAAAATTTTGTTTTAATCTTATTTTTTTTTTTTTTTTTTAATTTATTTCTAGGACAGAGAGAGAGAGACAGCGTGAGCAGGGGAGGGTCAGAGAGAGGGGGAGTCACAGACTGAAACAGGCTCCAGGCTCCGAGCTGGCAGTCAGCACAGAGCCCGACGCGGGGCCCGAACCCACGAACCGCGAGATCATGACCTGAGCGAAAGTCGGACGCTTAACCGACTAAGCCACCCAGGCGCCCCTAATCTTAACTTATTTTTGAAGGAGAGAGAGACAGAGCGTGAGCAGGTGGAGAGAGAGGGAGACACAAAATCCAAAGCAGGCTCCAGGCTTGGAGCTGTCCGCACAGAGCCCGACTCAGGGCTGGAACTCACAAACCCTGAGATCATAACTTGAGCCAAAATTGGACGCCTAACTGACTGAGCCGCCCAGGCGCCCCTCTTAGTGACTTTTTTTTTTTTTTAATGTTTTATTTATTTTTGAGAGAGAGAGAGAGACAGCATGAGCAGGGGAGGGTCAGAGAGAGAGGGAGACACAGAGTCTGAAACAGGCTCCAGGCTCTAAGCGAGCTGTCAGCACAGAGCCTGATGCGGGGCTCGAACCCATGAACTGTGAGATCATGACCTGAGCTGAAGTCGGATGCTTAACCGACTGAGCCACCCAGGCGCCCCAGTGGCTTTTAAGTTAAATTAAAATTTTATTGAATTCTGCCTCTTGATTCCTGAAGGATGAATCCTTTTATTCCTGAAGGATGTGTCGTCTTATTCCTTTCTACCTGTTACATGAGGTGTCAAAATATGTGTATACTCATAACATGAAAGAACCTGAGGCATGGAGGGCTTCCGCCTAAATCATTCATTGAAAAAAATGTGTCCACCTTTGCTTTAAAAACATGTTAGGGGTGCCTGGGTTGCTCAATGGGTTAAACATTCAACTTCAGCTCAGGTCATAATCTTATGGTTCGTGGGTTCAAGCTCTGCATCGGGCTCTGTACTTACAGCTCAGCCTGGATCCTGCTTTGGATTCTGTGTCTGTCTCTCCCTCCTCTACTCATGTTCTCTGTCTCTCTCTTAAAATAAATAAATAAAAAACATTTTTAAAAAATTAAATTTAAAAAATGTTAAAGTATGACTTCATATACTATTTTATATAACTTATAAGGTACTCATGAGGTAAGTATTAACATGTGCACATACATACACACATTACATCAATTATACATTATCCTAATGTTCAAAGGCCTACAGCATTTCTAAATATTTCTAAACTAAATATATGTTTTTATCTTACTCTGGTCTTTTGAAGAAGGCACAATGAGGGGCGATAGAGGGGTATACAATAGTAGTTATGGTCTTTATAGAAAATATTTGAGGATTAGTGGACTTACAATGATTACCACATGTAAGTGAACAATAACATTAATACATACACCTATACGTATATAGATATAGGTGGATTTAAATGTATTCTTGAGTCAAGAATCAGAATGAAGATTTTTTTCCCTTTCATAACATTCAACTGAGGTACCTAGAGGTGTAAACACTGGTGTTAATGATCTCCATGGAGCATTTTAAATTAATATGACTTAAATAAAGTGGTTGTCACATTTTAATGGAAGTATTTAATTGACAGAACATCACTTAAGCCAGGCTGTTTGCTGTAGAATCTCTTCTGTAGTCCATGGTTCTGCCTGGGGTCTTTTCTCCAGTGGAAAATACATCCCTTGATTTCACTTCATGAGATCTCACACCCTTGTGGAGTTTCATTGATTACAAGAGAGTGAGGGGCACCTGGGTGGCTGAGAGGAGCGTCCAACTGTTGATTTTGGCTCAGACTCTTGATTTTGGCTCAGGTTCTGATTTCACAGTTCATGAGATCAAGCCCTGCATTGCGCTCCGCCTGGACAGTGGAGCCTGCTTGGGATTCTCTCTCTTCCTCTCTGTCCCTACCTCACTTATATGCACATGTTCTCCTCTCTCTCTTAAACAATGAAATCTAGGAACCAAGGCTTTAGTCACTGATTTATTTTCTTGGTACTGCTTTTATTACTTCAAACAATTGTATAAGTTCTAGGATGTCATCATTCATTTATCCTTTGACTCTAATAGACTGAGATGCTGGACATGAGGCCTAAGAATTTCCTTTTGTTACCTAAAATTAGATTTAATGATTAGATTGCCAGCAGGACTGTGAAAAGTATTTCCTTTGAATGTTTCATGATGATTTCTTTCCTGGAAAATGGTGCAAATTGAGAAACTGTAGTCATTAGAAGACAGGTTTAGTTTTTTTTTTTTTTTAATGTTTTATTTATTTCTGAGAGAGAGAGAGAGACAGAGACGGAAAGAGCCAGAGACAGCGTGAGCAGGGGAGGGTCAGAGAGAGAGGGAGACACAGAATCTGAAGCAGGCTCCGGGCTCTGAGCTAGCTGTCAGCACAGAGCCTGACGCGGGGCTCAAACCCACGAACTGAGATCATGACCTGAGCCGAAGTCGGACACTTAACTGACTGAGCCACCCAGGCGCCCCATTAGTCTTTGTTTTTTATTTTAATTACCATGTAGGTTCAAATACAGTAAAACCTTGGATTGCTAGTAACTTGTTCTGCGGGTGCTGTGCAAGATGAGCAGAGATTCTAATAAATCTTAACTTGATGAGCGATGTCTTGCAATATAAGTAGTACATGATGCCGAATGTCACATGGTCAAACTGCGCCAGTGGTTCTCTCTCTGCGTCTTTTGCTCTCTCAGGGATTGTGGGTGATTGTTTTGGATTCTCTGTCTCAGGCTGCAGTGTTTAGCAGAAATCAGTGTTTTTTCAGAATGTTGGAAGGTGTCTACAACTGGCACTAGTGTATTTTTTGTCACTTCAAAGCACCTATGGACAGTCCTTTTCTTTTCCATGCAAGTGTAAGCTTAGGAATGCTTTGCTTCATTCTGGGTCAGGCTGTCTGCCGATAGAGACCCTTTCCTCTGTTGCCTTATTGCCAGTTACATTAAATACAGTAGATGATAAGAGTTTAATACTATACTATAGTCAACATCCATGTGAGTGTATACAATGGCCCCCATGCAGAAAAAGATTCCATTAGCGATAGTGAAAGTCGCCCTACACACAATAAACCTCCTCTCTCATCTCCCTCACATCAGCCATGAAGGTTTTCAAAGGTTAAGTGCAGGGTAATTTGTTTATTTTTCTTTATATTTTGTATTTTCTTTATATTATATTACAGTATTGTAATAATTTTTATGAGTATTCTGGGGTTGTAGAAGGAATCATCTGAGTTTCCATTATTATGGGGAAATTCGCTTCGATATACAAGTACTTTGGATTACAAGCATGTTTCTGGAACAAATTATGCTTGCACACTAAGGTTTTACTATATATGTAATATCTTATTTGATCACATCTTCTGAAAAACCATTTGAAAGTATTTTGTTTTCCTCCTTAAGGATCTGATTTTTTTTCTTCTAGGCACCTTATAATTGTAGTACTAAAAATGATCATAGTTTCTGCTTAGAAAAAAAAAACTGGCTTGATGGGCTTGAGGGCAAGTGTCTTGTGCTGACTGTCTTAGATGATTTGGTTTTTCTTTATCACGTAGAGTTGGAGTGGAAATTGTCAGAGTCTGGAGCAATAAAGACGGATCTGGAGGAAAATCCTAAGAAACCAATTGAAGACACTTTGCTATCCTCAGTGCGGTGCTCTATCCCCGCAAGAAGGGACAGTGATTCTGAGGATGACTAAGGCTATGGCCTCGGTAATGTGCCATACTTCCTTGATGTGACAAATCATCTGGATTTTTTAAAAAGGATAAAGTAGAAATGTCTTTTGGCTTTTAGCCTTTTATAATTATGTTTCAAATCTCATAGAACTCAGAAATCCTTACTGGGAATCCTATTACGGTTCTTGGAACTTTTTAAATTAATGACATTTCCTTAAAAAAATAAAAACCAGCTGTTGGTATGACAGATGTCTGTTTTCGTCACTTGTATTTTAAGCTATAAAACTGTCTATTCACTACTTGTCCACATATAAGAGGAAATACAGAGTTTTTTAATAACGTGAGGAAGTTTTACAGTGGAAAAATTGCAAACTAAGTTTTATAGTTACATTATCATGTATTTTTATTTTATAAGGCCAGCAACAGAATTATTAAAGGAATGATTGATAGGAAAATCTTAGTATTTGTCCTATTTAGAAGAAAGACAATAATTTTTATAAAACATTGTCCTATGAAAACAATAACTGAAAGATTCTAGTTTATTGCCATTTTTGCTTAAATGTTTTTTCTAGTTAAAATAATTTTTGTCTCAGACTGTTGAGATGCCAGTTAATCCCAATTACTGTAAGAGGCCATCTTAAATTCTTTTTTGTAAACAGATAATAAACACATAAAATGATAAATTGTATTTCAATCAGTAAAAAACATCAAAAATGATAAATTGTATTTCAGTCAGTAAAAAACATCAAGGTATTTTCTGAACTAGAATCTTAGCAGTTAACACTTCTTGTCAAATTGACATTAATAGAAAAAGTAGAGAAATATTCTCTTAATGTTTGTGTTGAATGATGTAGCACTTAATGCGGGGTTGAACATTAAAAATATAAATTATAGAGGGCCTGGAGTTCCTTCAGATTATATCGCAGAATTTATTTTTGCTGTAATTCAAAGAGTGACAAATAGGTGTGACCCATTTTAATCTGTCAGAAGTATCCGTGTTAGTGAATATTTATTTTTCTATACACATAAGAGCCAGTGCTACTTTTAAAAATGTATTCTATGTGACAGTTTACTTTTGAAGGATTTTTCATAAAATTTTAATTGCAGGGTTGATACAAGCGTGGTCAGTTCTATCACTCGCATGCCAGTTCCAGTGGTTTTGTGGGAGAGCTGCCTTCTTGGATTTTCTATTGTTAGCTGACATTCAAATAAAATGGCGTGGGAAGAATAAAGGTGAAAAGCTTGGGTGCTGCATTTGCCTGAGCACTGCAGCGCTCACAACTCTTGAGAGAACAGTGCTTGAGCATGGCTGGGGGCAGTATCCACTGTGATGGAAAAGAGCAGGCTTTATTCCACTGTGGAGCCCAGGCAGGATGTACCTCTAAATATCCACTGTGCCACTTTGATCTGTGTAAGTGTGAAACTGCTGCATCATCTTGCCTCCATGGGCACCATTAACGCCCTTAGTCGGAGCGTAAGGAAAGCTCAGGAGCCTTTGGACTTGGCTAATGAGCCCTATCTGGCCACATGGCCCCCAGGTCCCAGGCAGCTTTTTAGTCATGCTGACTGCACTTGATTTAAATAGAGAAACATCTCTCTCATAACATGACTATTGTGATTTAGAACTTGACCTGCAAACTTCTACAGGTTGGTTAATTTTGGGAGGCTTTGCCCTAATATTTACCACTAATTTTGGTTCATGTAAAGCATGAATGTGATGTGACAGAGGGGATACAATTGGGTGGGTAAGCATTGAGTTAATCTACTTTCACACAGGGAAAGTAAACAAGAAGGAGACCTAGAGGCTGTCTTCCAGTGTTCAGAGGAAAGGGTTTTGGGGAAGTGTGTTAAGCAAGTGCCAAGTAGCCCTTAAGCAGTAAGAAATGGTTCTGGAAAATGGGGATGATAATTGGGAGAAGTGAAATGGAGTTAAGACTATATAATCAAATAAATTCGATTTTTCTTTATTTTCTTTATCTCTAGAGGAATAAGAGGATGTGGATGAGTTGTATATGCTTATCTCATTGCATACCTAAATTTATATCCACACTCCCCAAGGTTGCAGACCATTGCTTTGGCACATACCTGCCGTAGAGCTTCCAGGGTGGGTGGCTCAGAAGTACTTCAGAAAAGTTGTACTAGAGGGCGCCTGGGTGGCTCAGTCGGTTAAGCATCTGACTTCAGAGCAGGTCATGATCTCACAGCTCGTGAGTGTGAGTCTTGCATCTGGTGAGCATGAGCCCTGCTTCTCTCTCTCTCTGTCCCATGTGGGATTCTCTCTCTCTCTCCCCTCTCACTTGCACTCTCTCTTAATTAAAAAAGAAAAAAAAGCACTAGATATAAAAGGCACTTTTTAGAGTTATGAAAGGAATGTTAAGAAGGGTATCCTCTGTCACCAATGCCCAAATTGTTTTTGTCATTCATTACCTCTAACTTTAAATTCAGTTTTCTTACGTAACGAGACCAGAAGTGACAAGTGTGAATAACCTTTATGTGTGTGTGTGTGTGTGTGTGTGTGTACATATATAATATATATAAATTAAGTATAATAGCATTTTTTATACTGTTGACATTCACATAGCAGATGGTCCAGGCTTTCTGCCTTCTGCACTCTGACCCCCTCCCACCACAACTCCGTGATCTCCACAGGAGACCTTGTCACTTGTATGCTACAAAGAATCCCCTTGTTTTCTAGTCTTAACCATCCATACCTGCACAGTGGCCTATCTTCACTTTCTGTTCCATTCAGTCTCAAGTGAAGATGTGTCTAGTCTCCAAGTTTAAACCCTCCCTCTGTGCCTTTGACCGTATTCTCTTCCATATTCTTAAGAATTTGTTCCAGTAAATCATCATCTTGATTTCAGTCTCTCTCTTGATGTGGAGCCTCGGACAGTGAAAATGTTTAGGTTCTGTGGGAGAGACTGCTATTTGCCTATGAGGTATCCAGGAATCTCCAGTTCTATTCCAGCACAATGGGACCAGCCAAAAGATTAAACTTCCAGCCTCCTAGGAGCTACAGATTGCCAGATGGAGGTGGGGAAGTTGGCTGGGCAAGCCTCTTCAGAGGGACAGATGACTGGCGTGTGCCCTCTTTGGACTTAACCCCCTACTTTCTGACAGAAGTATAGATGTAGTTGAAGCCTACTTGGGCCATTGGGTATACCTTTATAGAGGCAAAGCTCTAAGGATAATATTCCTGATGACATTGTGGAGCCACTATAATCCAGCTCTTGACTGCCTTCTCTGGACTTCTGTTACTGGGAAAGAAGTAACTTCCATCTTGGTCTCCCTTAGGAGCAGCTGACACATTTTTCCTGATAAAGTCACCTGCCTGTCAGCAAAGAAAACCTCAGCCATTCTAGCTTTCTGCTCACCACTTTCACCTTGCTTGATAAAACAGAAGAGTAATCTAGATGCCCTGCCTCTACCTGATCTGAACAACTCACCTGATGATAACTCAGAATGTTGGATAGGTATATATATTTTTAATGTTCTTAAGTTGTAGCTGAACTGGCAAGAAAGGAAAGCATCCTCAGAGGTCAAAAGTAGTTTGAATTCTCATGTTACATGTTGCCTAAAAACTTCTCAGACCAAGTTCTGAAAGTCCTCTTAAGTTGGTAATGCCCCTGAGCTCATGGCTAAAGCAGCTGCATATCCACACTGTAAGAACACAACCTTAATGTAGTCCTCAGACACTCTTTATAGACAAAGCTCCAAAGGAATGTGAGCTCATAGTCCTAAATCACAACCCACAGAATCACAGGGTGCTTCAAATAAGGTGTCTTGAATGAAAGCCAGTGGAAAACAGATAGTACAGTCAGACCTGCAAAGACTTTTAGGATAGTGGAATTTTCAGATATAAGCTATAAGATGAATACATTTAATATGTATTTAAGAAGAGTAAATGAGAATTTCTTATATAAAAATAAATCTGGCCACCAGTGGAAAAGAGAATGAACCAGAAAGTAGAGACAAATGATTACTCAGTAGGTAACACACAGAGGTAAATAGATAGAAATATAAAAATTAGGAAAGCAATATGGAAGAGAGACTGAGAAGTTTTAACATAATCTTAAGAGTTTTAGAGTGAAAAAATTGGAAATTGGTAATATTTGAAAAGATAAAGACAGATTTTCTAGAACCAGTGAAAGATACCAGCCTTCAGATTCAGAAAGCTATATAAGTCCTAAGCAAGTTACATACAATACATCTGTGTGTGTGTGTGTATGTATAAAACTGCAGAATGTCAGATTTGTACAAGTAGTCAGAAAAGTCATTACCCACAACAGAGTAATGGTAGGGCTTACTGACTTCTCAGCAGCAAGGAAAGCCAGAAAGATGGCTAGTATCAGTGGGTTAAGAAAAACAACAAAAAGTACTAATGAAGATTCAATATGTGGTGAAGCTGTAATTTTGGAATGAGGATGAAATAGACATTCCAACAGAATGAGGAAGTTTGTCATCAATAGACTCTCACTAAAGGGAAGTTTAGAAGATTAGTGGTGCAGAAGGACCACCATCTGTTGAAAGGTCTGAAGTTCAAGAAAGGATTGTGACCAAAAACATAGATAAATCTGGATGAACATTGACCTACATTGACCTACAACAGTACAAATAATGCCTTATTTGTGATATTAATGGGAAGATGGAACTAAAAATCAGGACAAAATAGGCTACACGTTGAAGGCTTAATTGGAGTTTAAATGTTCTTAGACCCTTCAAAAGTATTTAGGAGGTTGGCAAAGGTACACATGTAAAAAATATTTTGCTCAAGGTAACAATAAAAGAAAGTGAGTATGTGACTTTTAAAGTAGTTGGGGCATGGAGGGTGGGAACCTCTTTTAATTTAGAAGACCAAAAAAAGCAAAACCATAGGAACCAAAATGCTATAAATCTAACACAGTAATCACAATAAATGTAAATAGACAATAATAGTCTTACCATATCCAGAAGCCATGCTTATAGGAACTTAACCAACAGATGTGAAACTTCACATGCACACAAATGTTGCTAGCAGCTGATGTATAATCACCAAAACAACCAAAATGCCTATGGATAGATGAATGGATAAACCAATTGTGGTATGTTGACAGAATGGAATGTTCAGCAATACAAAGAAATGAGCTATCAAGCCACAAAAAAGCATGGATGCTAACTGAAATAAACCACTCTGAAAAAGCTGTATACTATGTTATTCCCATTATATGTCATTCTGGAGAAGGTGGAACTATGGATGGGCTAAAAA